AGCCTACGACGGAAAGACAGAAGAAGGTACACTTCATCCTTGACATGTATTATTTTCTCACGGGTGACAAAATGGAGGATGAGTGGATCCAGCACTTTGTACAGTGTATCGGTTCAAACATTTACATCGGAAAAATTCAGACCAGTCGAGAGCGTTTAGATGTGTCGGTAGTTCCGCCGTGTTTGCTGATCGGAAGTCATGATAAAAACTACATTTTTGGGAAAATGTTTTGTTCGCCCATATATACAATGAGGGGTGAAATATCGATAAAAAGTGACCAGGCCTATAAAATGGTGTACTTGCTGAAAGGACGTAGCAATTGGGAACATGCGAATAGCCGAAGCTTTGGCATCTATGAAATGACAACCGAAATCATCTACGCGATGTCCTAGTAAGAACAGCGGGAGCACACAAAAACGCATTTAGAAGCATTTACGAAAGCCCAAAATTGGTTCAATCGCCAAAAAGAGAATAGTTGTTGTACGTGTTCGAGCTCATTGAACTTGCCACCAGAACATCATCGACATAAACAAAAACGAAGGGTAACTCGCGGAGGACTTCGCTGAGCGGGGTTGCGGAGTGCAAGTGGCATCCCGACGAACTGGAACAGAGCATAGTATGTTGATATCACCGTTTTGAAATGCCTTCTGCAGCAACGGAAATTTGGTGGAAGGCTCTCACTAGGTCAATACTAGAAAAATTTTTTTCACCGGCTACGCTAGATAAGAAATCGTGGAGCCGCGAATGTGGGCATCTATCGGGCACAGTGCAGGTGTCCAATCGTCGGTAATCCCCGCATGGGCGCCAGCCAAGGAGAGAATTTTTACACACCATATGCAGAGCGGCATGGACTAGTGGAAAGCCTAACTATGCCTAGCTCTATTATATGATTGAATTCAGCCTTTGCAATAGCCAACCTATCAGCGGCAAAACGACAAGGATGGCAGCTAAAAACAGGTTGGTTAAATTGTGAGGGTCTTGTGATAGATGGAAATTCCGAAAGAAAACGATGATTGGGAGTAGACGACGGGATTGTTGAAATGTGTGGATTAGGTGATGAAAGGGTACGAGTTGAAAATGTACAGTATAAAAATGTCAAAGGATGAACTAATTTATGGGACTTGATACCAACGAAAAAACCGAAGAAGGATATAAATCAGCTCCGAGAATGGCAGTATGAACATCAGAAATAGTAATTATCCGGCGAAATGAATGCCGTAAACCCATATAAAGACTTGGGGTTCGTTGACCAAAGGTTTCATTGGGGTTATTATTAGCTGCTTGAAGAGAAAATGAAGAGTTAATTACTTACAGTCAGTCGAAGTGGATGGACTTGGACTGATATCAGCATCCGTGTCTCCCATGAAACTGCAACAGGAAGTTAGCGACTTGGAGAGGATAGAACGAAAAAGTTCGTCGGCATTACTTGTCAGCAGGAAGTTTTCGGACGAAATGCTTTGTACTTACCTGAAGAGCGGTAGTGGTGATCACTGGATCGATAATTGTGATTGCACTTACAAAAAAAGTCAGCTGTAGTTTGGCCTGGAAAGGGAGACCTCGGGCGGCGAGTAATCGAAGTACTGCGATGGTTGTAGACACGAGTTGTCCGAAGCTGGGGAACTTAAAGGGTGAGAGCATCTAGGCGTCTTACGACGTCTTCGATGGTGGGTGTTGTTACGGCCCAAGTAAGAACATTCACGGACAGAGGTGGTTAGTAGTACTCGATTATACGATCAGCTGTCTCAGTGAGCACTTAAAATGGCGGGGAACGGATGTTGAGAGAAAGGATGACTTGAACTGTGGAGGGCAGCTGGAGGAAGTGCTGCTTGAATCTGGCTCCGTTCAGCTTTTTTTCCATCAGCTAGCTGCTCCGGGCTTATAAGAAACTGTGTGGGCTTCCTTTTACCAACGTCACGGACAACTGGACGGTTTCTGATGCCTACACAGTGACCAACGGAATAAAACAGGGCTATGTCCTCGCGCCCACCCTCTTCACTCTCATGTTTTCTGACATGCTGTTGGATGACTAACGTGACGAGCGTCCCAGGATCTGTATTAACTACAAAATGAATCGGCACCTTCTCAACATCCGACGTATGCAGCCCCTACGCGCGTCTCCACGACTACAGTTAATGACCTGCTTTTGCGGAAGACAGCGCTCTCAACACCACCACCACCATCATCATCATCACCACCACCACCACAGAAGTGTACATGCAGTGGAGTATGAAACTGTTCACCGTGTGTTGCGCAAACCCCGGTCTTACCATCAGCACGGATTAAGCAGCGGTCATGCATCTAGCGCCACCCACTGCTGATTAAAATGCTCCCCGTATAAACGTCAAAGGCACCGCGCTCAAAAACATGGGCGACGTCGCCTATCTTGGCAGCACGCTTAGCCGCAACACTAGAATCGACGACGAGGTTACTTGCCGGATCTCCAAAGCCAGCCAAGCCTTCGGCCGACTTGAAGAATCCGCGTGAAACCGTCAGATGTACAATGCCGTCGTCCTCAAGACACTGCTGTACGGAGCAGAGACTTGAACCGTCTACGCTAACCAACCTCGGCAGCTAAACATTTTACACTGCAGATGTCTCGGCCAAATAGTGAAGCTGAGACGGCAACACAGGATCCCAGACACGGAATTCTCGGCACCTAGGCGATACTGAGGCAGATACAACACTACCGGACTGGCCACTTGGTACGGATGAACAACCAACAACTGTTCTACTGCAATGTCGCTGTGGGTGCTCGCTGCAAAGGAGGACATAAAAAGCGCTACAACGAGACTCTCAAGAACTCCCTGAAGCGCCTTCAAACCAACACAGCGACCCAAGAGGAACACGCACAGGACTGATCTGCATGCCAAAAAATGGCAAAACCGCGCGTCTACCTATAAAGCCAGTTGAATCGCCGCCGCCAAGAAGAAAAGGACGGCCTCGAATTCCCAAACCCAACGGTGGAACGGTGTTAATGCCCCATTGCTTCCAACCTGCCCATGCTGTCAATGCACCTACCATGTACGTATCGGCTTGGTAGGTCATCTATGGTAGCAGTGCACCCACCCTCCGACGGCATACACTTCCACGGCTTCAAACAATTCAACAGTCCCTCCTGTGTCTAGCAATCCGCCGACGACCATCTCCATAACGGAACCTCAACTACGCAATGCCCAGCTGCCCTTACTCGCCGAAATCAGCCTTCTTACTGCGACCTACTGTGGGAATCAACGCTTGTTGCTGTCCCCGAAAGGAGCTCAGGGCCATTAAGAAATGTCTGGTGGGGCAACTTTGAAGCAATTTAGTTGACGTTTGGACTTACCAGATGGACGGAATTATTCCGAGGGCATATCAATGAAGGTTGGAATATCTTTGAATTAAAGATGAAAAACTTGATGGAATTGTACTTTCCTCTCGAGAAATATTCGACGGGCAACAGACCAAAATGTCTGACGACAGTGGTAAAAAGAGAAGATCCGAACAAAACTCAGGCCGTGGAAAATATTAACACAAACGAGCAACCAAGAAAAACTTCAAGAATTTAGCCAACATCGCAAAATATGCAAGAGAATCCTCAGAGAAGCACGAGCCTCTTATGAACTACGACTCCTAGAAGAGGCGTCACAAAAACCCAAAGCATTCTACGCCTACGTCAGAAGTTCTACAAAGAAACATGACCATCTCGCAATCTAAAAACACAAAAACAGTGAAACTGTGAGCGGTAGCCCTCAAAAAGCCGAGTTTTTTCAGCATTCTTCCAAGGTGTCTATAACACGGAGCCACATTTTCAGCCGTACACTTTGTCCCAAGACGTCAGCAACTCGATTATAAACACTGTTTAATTTACACCGCGGACAGTTTTGGCAGAGTTTAAGAAGTTGGATCCTGCCAAGTCACCTGGACCGGATGTGATCCCAGGTGCACTTCCACGCGAACTATCTGAAGAATTAGCGGAACCACTCTGTATAACTTTTCGAAAATCGCTCGAAGCTGGTAAACTTCCTGTTGGCAAATGTCATACCCATCCATAAGAAAGGATCACGGCTCTATCCCACCAACTACCGACCAGTCAGTCTGACGTGCATCTGTTGTAAGTTGATGGAAAGAATAAGTAAAAAATCGATTTTATTGCTGGATACATTTCGCTGCAAAATCAGTCCAGTCAAGCATGGTTTCAATGAGAAGAAGTCTTGTCCTACAAACCTTATTACAACGCTAGAACCCTGGACAAAAGCCATGGAGGACATCCAGTAGACTTTATATACTTTGACCACCAAGGCGTTTGATCGCGTTCCAGATCAGCGCCTCATCCGAAAGCTGTCCGACTTTGGGATAACAGGGAATCTCCTGAACTGGATTTAAGATTTCCTTGGAGACCGTAGTCAAAAAGTTACTGCAGGTGGCTACTGTTCAGAGTGGGCACCTGTCAAAAGTGGAGTTCAACAAGGGTCAGTTCTTGGGCCGCTCCTTTCCATCATCTACGTAAATGACATAGAGCGAGAAGTTTAATCTGACACCGTACTCTTTGCAAATGGTCTCAAACCGTGGAGAGTGATCAAGGATGTGAGGGACTCCCAAATACTGCAAGAGGATATAGACCAGCTGCACTCTCGGAGCAACAGTTGGTGTATGAACTTCAACCCCAAAAATATGTAGTAATGCACATGTTATCAGCAAGATGACGCAGAGCCGCACGCTCGCGACATTATATCTTGAGAGGCCAAACACTCTAAACCCTAATTGTGCAAATAGACCTAGCTGTTCTTATTAAAGACGACTTAAGTGTCACCACACAGTGCTCCAAAGCCGCAGCGAGAGCAATATGGGTTATAGACGCCATACGAAGAACGCTTGCTAATCTGAATACTGATATCTTCGGACAAGTATATGGAACATTAGTGCAGCCGTATCTGGAATATGCGATACAGGCTTGGCGGCCATGGCTTCAGAAAGACATGCGGATTCTTGAAGGTGTTCAAAGACGTGCTACCAAGGTGGTCCCTGAACTTAAGCAGTTCACATACGAACAAAGTTTGACTGCGTTAAGTCTCTTTTCCCTCCATTATAGACAAGAGAGGCGTGAACATATAGCAACATTTCAGTTACTAAGGGGAACTTGCGTGGATCTCAAGTGGGAGGATATCTTTGAAACGGCCCCAAAAAGGAACCGCAGGAGACATGATTGCCAGTTGACGAAAGAATTTAGTCGCACAAACCAACGCGCATCCTTCTTCTCTAAAAGGGTCATTCGACAGTGGAAATATTTGCCAGAGTCTGTTGTGTATTCATCCACTGTGGACTTGTTCAAGATTTGTTTGGACAATCATCTGTTTAAGGCAAATTCAAAAACTCAGGCACTCACCTAACATAAATGACTATAAACAAACATACTGCCCGATTTATTTTAACAGAGATTGCATTTACACTAAAGATGGTCCAAATGGATATTTCATCTGAACGCTTTGTACGCTGCTTTACCGCGAACGCATTACCTTGTCAACCATTCATATTTCCAAATTATTTTTATGCACTTTTGCATAATAGAAGAAGGTAAGACGTTCTCTGGGACCATGAGTGTATTCTTCCGAGTCTTCGAACTTTTCCCGCGAGCTCATTGTCAAGGAATGAAAAAAATGTGGAGCTCACAGTAACCACTTTTGCATCGCAAAAGTGATCTGTAGCAATTTTTGCATATTTCACTACACTTTACGCATTCCTGTACCGTTTTAATGGAGTTGTTAAGGGCCTCGGTCATTTACTCCAAATATACTAACTGATACTGACCCCATTACTGCCCACAACGTCGACCATCCTGAACACCACGCTTAACTTTATCCACCCCTCCATCACTCCATTTGACCCCATTCACACTCTATCTGACAATCCCATATTTCAATCGGTCTGGTTGGTCACTTGCGAATTTGCCGCAAAATTAAAAAAAGGAAGCAACAAATAATGCTGTTTCTAGAACAGAACCATCTGCTTTCCAATGTCTAGTACGGCTTTCGTAGGGGTAGGTCCTGTGTGGCGAATTTGCCCTACTGCTTAGAACGCTGGACTGTAGGAGTAGATAGAGGGCACACGGTGCACGTTGTCTACATTGACTTAAAAAGGTCTTCAAAAGCGTGCCATATCATCGGATTCTTTATAGACTCAGCCACAAAGGAGGCTTCTGGCTTGGATAGAAAACTTTTTAATCGGCCGCTCGCAAACTATCAATATCAGCGACAAGCGGTCGGCGAATGTTTCGGTTGAGAGTGCGGTTCTCCAAGGCTCCGCTCTCGGCCCTATTTTGTTCATTGTCTACATTAACGGTTGAGTCAGCAAAATGGATTGAGATATCGCGATGTCTGCCGATGATATCAAGCTCTGGCGCGTAATTCAAACTGCGGCTGACGAAGAGGACTTGCAGGCAAATCTGAATCGGCTGGGAAAATGGTTAAAGGACTGGCTCTTACCGTTTAACGCGAGCAAGTGCAATATAATTCGAGCCGGCAAATTCAGCCCTTTGAACCGTACAGTTCATCACCTAAATGGTATACCATTGAATGAGGTAGAAGCCCAGAAGGACTTGGGAGTTTGGATCGCGCCCTCGCTTAAACGCTCCCTGCATTGTGCAAAGGCGGCCAAGTCTGCGATGTCGGTTCTATACCTCGTCGAGAGAGCTTCTTCTGCCTACAACGACGACTGCTTCACAAAATTCTTCGGAACTTTCGTACGGCCGCAACTGGAATCCGCTATCCATGCTTGGAGACACTGGGCCGCGAAAGGCATCAACATCCTCGAAAAGGTTCAAAGGCGCGCTGCCAAACTTTTTATTGGGCAGGGCTTGCAGTCTTATGAAACACGGCTGTCGAGTCTCAAACTCTTTCCATTGCGCTACAGGCAGCTTTAGGGGGAGAACTGATATTAACATTCCGCATTTTACGTCTACGGGACAGTTGTCTTGTATCAGGAGATTTATTTGAGCTAGCAACAACAACGAATTTCAAGAAGTCAAGATAGGCGAACGAACTTTTTCGATTAATTCATCATCAGGCGTGTACAATAATATGTATAAAGGGGTAGAGTTAGTAAAAGTTCAAGCAACCAATCAACGGTATTTAAGGGGGGGAGGGGAACTGTTAAGAGAGC